CATCACCGGGATGAAACGAACACGAGGAGACGTCGTGCACGTCCCGTCGGGTTGGTCGTGAGACTTGCGGGCGAAACGTGTCGCGGACAAGTTCGTTGCTTTGCGTGACAGGACATCCGGGTTAATCGCTGCCAGGTTACTCATCCTCGTCGTTTCTTTGCCTGACTCGCGGAGATACGCATTTTACGCTTACAACGCCCACTTACAAATTGTTAAGTTAAATCATCCTTCCGTACGCATTAGTAGTTTTCATAATTGTAGAAATGAACGTTATTTAGGGGCTATTATCTGCTCTCATAAATGGAAGAAAACGCAATTATAACGAGGTGGATAAACCATTAGCGTCAAATAATGTTAACTGATTCTATATTTCAAGTCTGCTATTGCGTACACTAAATTATTGATCATTATTACTTAAATTTATTCGATTACCGCGATTTCTATTAAACGAAATTCGTACGTCAAATTATATTGTATTTTTTTATACACGTTTCCAAGCGGTACGTCTTAATTGATATTCGCATCCCATTTAGCACAGCTATCGTTTGACAAATTGATTCTAATATACATTCGCACGTAGTTCATGCAGGAAGTAATTATTGCATAAACTATGCATAGTATACCAACTTGATTTAGTCATTAGCAGCAAAGGAGCTAAACTATTCATCTCCGAATCAACTCGTAAAACCATCCAATCTATCATCCCTTCGTGCCTCTAACTCCGAATCAATCCCTCAGAGGGGAATAATAACACATCCCAAGCATCCGATTTCCCATAAAATCCACTTCTCCCCTAACTTCGTGCATTAACACCTTCACTGGAGGATGATGATTCGCCCGAGCTAGTGGATCGACTTGTCGACCCTGGCTCTAGTTTAACGAGCAGCCGCCGACATTCATCGTTCCCGACGCTCGTGTTTCGAGAGCCCGTCCAAGAATCCCAGAGTAAACAACAGCCTTCCTGGCGGATTTGCAACGCGATTACCGGAAACGGGGACGAAAGCTCGGCTTAAAATACCAGAAGGTCCTACGTTTGCCTAGCGAATGAGTAGCGAGAAATCCCGGATGATAGAGAACAAGTAAACGAACGCGTTGAACGATGATGTGACAGTTGGGCGCAAAATGAACCGACGACAATCTCGCAAAGTTTAGATACATATTGTGATAGGACGTGAACAAGATTTGTCACGCATTAATTTGTATTTTTTTTTACATGCAGGCAATTACGAGTGAGTTATTATCCACGGATAACGAACGATGAAAATGCGGTTAAATAAATAGACGGTGGAAGCATCGTCCATTATGTCAACGGATATACTCGTTAAAGCGATCGAAAAGCCGGGAGGGTTGAAGTTTCGAGGGTGAAGAATTTGACGAAGGTTCAACAGGCTTCGCTCCGTGGAAAGTGAGTCGTTTGTCTCAGGATTAACGAGCCGATATCGTGGTTAAATATACGGGCGTCGGGTTTCTTGGTTAAATTAGCAGACCACGGACGCGTTCATGCGTTTACAGAGAATTCATGGGGAATTTAAAGTTCGTTAAACTCGATGCTTGGTAAAATCGTTATCCTTTTACCTCTGCCGGCGTAGATCCCGCTTTTTGATAGCGCGGATTTGCATGAACGCCCGGTAATTAGGGTTAACGTAGTGACGTCTTCGTTCAGTTTACAACGTCCTTCCGGTGGTCGTTTTACGATGTGCCGCAAGGATCCACCACTGATACACCGTATCCGTGTTATTACGTTCTTCGACGAGCAGGACGATCATTCGCGAGACGTATCGGAGGGAATATTGGCGATATAGCATAACTATAGCTATTCGAGCGAGAACCTGGTGGCAATACTTGGCTCGCTTCTCGCTTAATCTCTGCTGTTTACAACGGCGTCGATGGCTGGTTTCTTCGCAATGAATAGCCGAAGCCCTTTTAACACTGATTCACCCCGCAGAAGTATCGACAACCATTTAGCCGGATAACTGGGTTAAAGAAAAAAAAAAGAAAAACAGAGAAATACCGTAGAAGCAACTGTTCTTTAAGACGTGTGTCGGAGCGTGGCGCGAGAAGAAAAACTACTCGCTAGGAGAGAGAGACTTAGGTGCGCGGGCACGGCCATAACTTTATCTCGCGACAAGGGAAACGCAATTCGTAGGTGTAGAACGTCGCGAAGTTTCGTGGCCTGGCAATTTCACGCGCCCCCTATTTTTTGTTGCCCGCATCCGCCACCGCCGGCGAGGCATTAAATCTTCGCAGGGGTAAGGGAGGAAAAACGCGTTCTCCCGACTTTTCACCGGTGCGGTGCTCGCAAATCGCTCCTCGCCTTGCCAGTTGCCGACCTTTACCGGTTGACTTCAACGAAACGACTACACCACTACTTTGTAGTCTCTGTAGTTTTTCTTACTGGCTGTATCACCTGAACAAGTGGACGAGCAAGGAATTATTCCACCATCAGTTACAGTTGACATTGTCTAATATACGATATATGTATCTATCTTCAGTGACTGCCAGTTATATGTATACTTATACTACTGCAACGTTCTGTGTATATTTTAGAGATATGTCGTCGAGTATGACGACGTACAAAATAACTGGTTAGACGTTTCTCGGCTATTTCGACACTCGCCTCGCATTGACTTGTACTACTAAAGCGTGCACGGTATACAGAACAAGCGAGCTGAATAGTAACTAAGGCGAAGCCAATCGTTCGGCGTTCGTCTTGTTTCCCGGCTAAAAGCCAGGAGAACCGATGCACGGCTTAATGCGACGACGCGGTCGAACCAAGTCAAAGCGAAAAGTTGTCTTTGAAGCGAGTGAACGCGTCTGTAACTGCGTCCACGTTACGATGAATATGTAATGCGCCGTGGGGAAACTTCCGACCGCGGCTACGGATCGTTTGCGATGGTCGAAGAACGATTAAAGTCAGATAATGCTGATCGATTTCGGAACTTAATTAATTTCCAACGAGGGTTCGATTAAGAAGCGAGGAACAATTTTCTTCTTAAATGTATCTGTGAAGTCTTTAAATAATATATAAATTGAAGGATCTCTATTATCCTGAGGGAAACGAATATTTAATATTGAGAATGTTTAATGCGAATTAAAATGTAATGAAAATTATTAGACGACTATTTAATATTTCAAGCATGATACGAAGCAGCTAAAAATGGAAATGACTCGGCTATTTCCAAATAAAGGTCGATATTACTCGCGTGTTTGGTATAACGAGATGGCGGGTATTAAACCGAGGAACGTCAAGAAACGTCGTAGCTAAATCCGGAAACGCGTTACGTTCCCAGAGGCTGTATCTCTACGACCGTTCGAACCGTTCAATGAGTCCGCTACTGAATTTTAACGAGCGTCTCGTTAATTGCACTGTCGTGCTGGCATAACGAAACGTTAACGAAACCGAACACCTACAGCCGGTTGGATTATGCCACGAAATGGGTCTTGCAAATAGGTTAACAACTCCATTTTCCCTTGTAAGAGTCTAGATTATTTTTGTATTTCTCACTTGACAGATTGCTAAGAACAGATTATTAACGTTTACAGAAATTGAAGAATATCAACTTAATTAATCATCTAAGGAATTAAAATTAATTATCTATAAAATATCAAGACAAAATAAATAACGTAATAAGATATTATTTATTAGTTCGACTAATTAAAAATTTTTTTTAACAAAAAGAGATATCGTACTGGTCGCAGGGCAAAGTTTGTACGAATAGAAATGTCAAAGCGTGGAAACAAGAAGAGGAGAGTTACGACTCAGGATTATCACGAACCCATTACCCGTGGGTGATCCAGCCATCCTTACGCAAAACCCAAGGGCGTAAGAGTGAGCTAGCTTTTTCTCTCGACGAGCAATTTTAGATAACGATGTCGCCCGGTCGAATGAAGTCTTACGCGAAAACGGCGAGATTATCGAGCGAAGCCGACTGAATATTAAATGAGGAGCAACAATCGAACCCTTTCCAATTTCGAGAGAGATAACACATCACGAAAGAAGATACGAATACTGAAAAACATTATTTTGACCCTCTGTTAAAAATGTTTTGCGCTTCATGGCCCGAATTTCGAGAAGGTCGATGGATGTCCATTTCTGTACTAAAGCGAGTGAACAAAAACTGGAAATGTCTTTTTCAACTATATAAAGTGATCCAGTATCAATGAAAATATTTCATAAACGAAATAGAAATTTCATTTTTAGGGAAGTATGTAGGGATTGAGTATTTCAAGTTGAATTCACAATTTGATCAGTTCACTCGTTTTGTTCCTTACACCTTCGCTTCTAAACTTTCTGTCAATATCCCACGGTAGAGTAGAGTATCGCGAAAACTACTCGAGCGTAGAGGGTAGATAAAGTACAGTAGAGCGTCAAAGACATGGGCCATTACGTTCGAGACAGAAGGCGAGTGAACAAATTATTATCTGAGCAACAACGTATTTGTGTTATGGTGGGGAAATTGTGAGCTGCACCTTACTTGTTTACATGCCTGTACTAGCACATCCTTTTCCTGAGCTAGCAAAACTGTGTCGAGTGCGACAGTTTCCGCGTGTATTCTTAAAATATGATGACTGCGAGTGTAAAAAACACTAAGTGAAGAAACAATTTTAATTAACACATTTATTGGCAGCTTATCCGGCTGGTCTAAGACAAAAGCTTTCTTAGTTGAATACTACTGTTAATAAGCAACATTTCATCTAACGAAGTGTAAAATATTGCCTTCTTGGTATTGGAAGATGAAAAATATTCCTATAAGGGAAGTCATTAGTTCTTGTAATGAAAGGATTGCTATTCGTCGCTGAACGTTTTAAATGTGCTTCGTTTGACACGTTTGACAAAAGCGAAGGTATTCCGTCTTTCTCAAAGAATCAACCATTTATACCTCGTGCGGTTAGTACACAAGATTACAACTGACTTATAATCAATCAAAACCGATTATTTATACCGGATAGTCGGATACGTAGGTAACAAGAAATGAATGCGTGGTATAGTGAGTACTCACTGTCTTTCACACAAAAGGCGCCTATAATCCAGAGTGGGAAGAGCGGCACAATGAACACGTTCCAGTGTCTCGCGTTCGTGTTGCACCGTAGACTCCTCCCGAAGTGCAGTCTAAGGTAAATCATGATCGTTCCACGTGAACTATCCGCGGCTCGATCATAGCAACCGATTGTCAAGCAGCATTGCGTTCATCGAGCACCTTGTTCCTCAGAATCACAAATTGAGGAACCTCGCGCCTCCGCGACTTACGTGTACCGCGTACCCGTATCCTCGTCTCGCGTGTCCTTTGCACACTGCGCCCACATCTTATTCACACCGTCGTTAAGGGGAACGCGGACCGATACACCAAATAGCCCGATTTCAACACGATATTTTCTATAGCCTGGGGGAAAAACGGCACACTTTTTAATACCACTCTCGAGAGCAACTTTCGTTTAAAAGTTGCACCGCTTTGAGAAAAACACGCGAGCTTCGGGGACCACGCGCGGACACTGAAGTCGTCTCGTTTCGAGACAGCTTCGACACCTCCTTCCCCCTCGTTCTAAAATTAATCTCGCACACTTTTGTCCCCTCTTCGGCTACTCTAGCGACTTTCAAACCTCGTGATAACCGCCCGGATGTATAATCGCATTTCGTTTAATCGGTTGTACGCGAAGGAGATAAACCCGTGTCGAAGTTCACGCTTATTTCGAAACGGCCCGACGATCGCGAAACGGACATGTACGGGAGCTAACGTAATGCGCGCCACTCGCACTCCGGGCGAGATTTCGCTCTCCCGTACTCACTGTATCAGGCAGCGCCGGACCGCTGCGCTACGCCTACGCTGACAGCTACCACGGTCGACGTTAGCGTCGCTACTGTCGTTTTCGCTGCCACCCCTACTGGCTTTTCTCCCACCACATGGGTCACTCACCCCCACTATTCCAAAGTGCAAGCTCGCCCTCGAAGCTGCCCTTCCTCTACCACCGCCGCAAGCTCGCCGCTGGCTACGCTAGAGCACGTATGTACAGTCTGTAACGCAGCGCGGACGCAGTACTCTTTTGCGAAACACTCTTTCTTTCAGCTCGAGCTTCGCGCAGCGTTAGTTTATCTTAACTGGAAATTCGTTAAAAGCTATTAGCAGTAAATGATATGAATTCAAGAAGAAACAACAATAACCAAAGTGTTGTCTATTATTTTTTTATCTCATTTCTCTTTATTCAAAATAAATAAGATTGAATCATTTTAAGTTTCATTTAGTCTCTGACATGAAAATTCATTTACCAAGCTTTTTTCATGGGATCGAATAACTCAAATTCCTTTTCTGGTTGACACAGCGTTCTTTATCTACAGTACATAGGATCGCTATCAGTGTCACGCTTTGTAGACTGTACGGACACCGGTGAGGAAGTCAGCTGCCGACGTCGACGTCGACGTTGTCGTTGCCGGAATCGTCGATCGAAAAGAGGCTCCTGTTGTCGCGCCCGCGCACACGCTTTACCTCGCATGCGTATTGAACGCACCGGTACTCCGTTTCTCTCCTGTTCGGTATATCGTCGACGGTTTCGTCTTCGTCTTTTCTTATTTGTATACTGTACGCGGTTTAGAATGTTTTCGTTTACTGCTCTCGGATCGCTCTTACATGTTACACGCATAGTTCCGTGTACCGCGTGCGATAGACCAGCGAAGACGACTCGGTGAAAGATAAACGAGACATACGGATGGGAATTTATGTTAATTTTCAATGAACGAATGTGAACATATCATTTCAATGTAAATCGGAACGTATCCCTTCCGGTTTCAATTATGCTGCTTTATGCTAATGAGTCACATCCATCTTATGCTTAGGATTTCCTCTCGTTAGGATGTTAATCAAGAGACAATATGGTCTTCGTCATTTGAGAAATTGCTAAATTATATAGTTGCACGTTCGGATTGCAGGATACGTATAAATAAAATGTAGAATGCATGCGTTGATACGAGAGCAAACAACGATAGTATCACCCGTCGTCCTATCATTTCCATTCTAGTAATATACGTCTCCCTCAATATTCAGTTATCGAAGTTGCACAAAAAAAAAGCTGTTTGCTTGGGAAGAATTGTTATTGATCACCGCAATTTAGGTCATAATTTCCATAACGTCCATAGATGCCGTGTAGGAGCTATCAATTTCAATGATGCGCACAGTCGTATTACGAGTTAACATCCGCGCAACGGCCTCGATAATGGATCTAATCGCATGGATTGCTCTTTTCGTTCCCGGTTGTCGCGTTTCTTTGATCAATATTCTCCATCCCCGTTGTCCCATCACCCGCCCCCCCCGTTGTCGTTCCTCTTTGTTCCCATGTCGGTTCTTTTTGTTATCCTCCCTACTCTCGTGTCTTTACTCTCCCGTGCCATTTTCCGTTCCCTTCGTCTAAATTCATTCAGGCTCGCGTCTGACGGAACAAGTTTCAGCAACAGAAAAGCGTACTTGAAAGAATGTGAATGGAATGGAAAACATGGCTGAAGGGCGATGGGTATCGAAGGGTGAGTTGGGGGAGTCAGCGCCGAGGGAAGACGGAATTCCTATTAATTCCAAATAAAGCGACATTTTCCAGCGTGACGTTTGAATAGAGGCGCGAATCGAACTGGTCAATTATACCAGGAATTGAATGCAAATTCCTTCGTGTTTCCCCGTTCGTCGCGCCCCCCTCTCCCCTCGTCCTTCCGCTATCCTCGTCGTTCGTTTACTTTCTTTTTTAACGACTACGCTCTCGTTCCGTCGCCGTCCAAGCACACTTGTTTCCATTCCGCTGTACGTATAATACTTTCTCCTTTTTCCACCTTCTCCCCCTTCTATCCACAGCGCCCCGTCGCCTTTTCTTTTCCTTTATCGCGGCACAGAAGCCTCGGTCGTTCTTTGTACCAGTCCTCGAATGCAAAAATTTCCAAGAAAGACGAGAGAGAAGATATTGAAGAAATCATGAATGGAAATGACAAAGGGTTCCGCGTTTATATTAATGTCGGGTATATAGCGATGGACCTTCACTGGTGGCAACCTTTTTAAGCTGTAGAAGCGTAGAAGGCCGAGGGTGTCTAATTACAAAGAGAAACAAGTTCACCTGTTTCCCTGCGATCTCCCTTTGCCAGCCGGCCGCAGCCGGTCTCCCCGTCGAATTCGACCGGTTCACTCTCTCCACGTTAATTGTATTTTCATCCTCAGCCGGTGCTTCCTTTCTTTTCTAGCCTCTTTTTTCCTATAAATTAGTTTGCTTAATCCGTACTTTGCAGCTTACCCGCGTGGAACGTTCTCGTTTATTTTCCTCCTATTCCTCCTTCGATTTTATTCCTCTCATCGTCACGTAGCTTATCAGCAATGAAAATAGAGAAATCCGAGAGGAGGCAGGGCATAGGACGGTCGTGTATCGATGAAGAGAAAAATTACCGGTGTTGCGTCTGGAATAGGATTCGTCTCGGTCCACAGGCGCGGATTTTCATTGCGATTAAAAAACCATAAACAAACGCGCTAAATTAGAAAAGAATCTCGCTGCATAGATTAACCCCACCGTCCCTTCTTCTTCTTCCCCCCCTCTCTCTCTTTCTTCTGTCAACCTCGTTTCGCTCCACGATTTTATGCTTTCGTTCTGGAGTTAGTGGTTGCCTCTAGTGTTCTTTTTCTCTACCAGTCCTTTGACGATGCCTCGTCTCCGTTCGATCATTCCATCACTTTTTATCGAGCTATCCCCCCATCTCCCCTTTTTTACCTTTTTAAATGGTCGTACAAATCTTTTTCAAAAGGATGTCGGACAAATTTAACCTTTTGTCGTACCCGGACACTTTTCTTTTAGCATGTCGTAGTTTAACGATGGGAACTCTGATTCCTTTTGTAGTTATAAATATATATTGTATGTACGATCGTTAACGTCAATGTTTTCAGTGTAATCGGGATGGGAATGTGAGAAGATAAATATCAGAAAATATGTCCAGAATGGAAGCTGTTCCCCCGGAATTTTGCTTTGTACGCCGGCACCCCTTTCACTCTTGTTACTCACAGATTAACATCTTCACTTTCTGGTCACGTCCCGCGGGGCGTTTAACGCTGGCACTGATTTTCATCAGCTTCTTTCCTCCCCACGCGTTAGCACCCCCTCGCAGTTTTTACACCGTCTCAACGTTCTCTATTCTTTCTCTTAATTCTACGAGTATTTCTTTCGCTTTTGCTCAAGAATTCGCTTTCCTCTTTTTCATATCGTTTCCGTACCGACAAAAAATATGAATAGAGAACGAATCGCAGTGAAATGAGCTTTTGCAAACGAAGGAGAAGGGCTTGTATCGGAGAATCATCGATGGAAGCGCAGCGGTACGTAATCATAATCCCGATGATGATCTGACTTTCAGATGCTCGTATCACTACGCGAATGAGTTAATGAGGACGTTGCATTGAAAGGCGAATGCATCAAATCTCAATCACGATTTCCAGCCTCTTTTCTCTCTCATCTATCGAAAAAGTATTCCTCGGCGGATAGCGCAACTATTTACTAAAACACAGGATAATAAATCTTCTTCACATAATCTCTGCTGTTCAACGTTTGTCAACTAAGCTTATAGTAGCAAGTTCTCGCTAGTATGAGAGAAAAGAGAATTTCACAGTTTGTAGTAAATTAATCGTTATCATAGCAAACGAAGGAGCGGTGAAATTGCACGGGGGTTTTCTCACTTTTTACGGGCAAGGAGATTTAAAATAGGAAATCGATTATGTCGAGCTTCGCGAGGACCCGGCGAATGTTTATTCTCAATAAAGCTTGGGCGAATTCGCTCACCGAGATCCTGAATACCGCGCCGGTCTACACGTCCGGAGAAGGAACTTCCTTTAATTTTGAGTATGGTCACATTTACATCGCGATTTCTACGGAACTACAAGCGATGCTTTTTCAATTACCGCGAGCCAAGCACGCCAATTTTTCTGCGCCTCTAAAGCCAGCTTCCCTTTTTTCCTTTTCCACCAGAGACTTTATAACACTCTTTTCTCGTCAATCTCAATTTATCCGAATTGGTTGTGAGAATCTTTAAGTAGTACACGTGCAATTTAGAAGTAGAGGTTTTTTTTATAATTTATACGTCGAGTAATATCATCAATAGGAATTTACCTGCGGTATTTTTTAACGTTCTCTGTATGCGCTAGTACATTTTCGTTCCCCTCGGTTTCATTTCACTAACGTACATGACTACCCCCGTCGAAACTTAAATCGTAACTCATGCACGCAAAAGAGTGGTTCACGAGTGGAGCAAGTAAGGTAAAAAAAAAAAGAAAAAAATAGAAAAGCGTGGGCCGAGGCGAAAAAGAGATTCGCTTTATTTCAGGTATTCCCACATTTACATTTCACTATTATTTCAACGTCAACAGGATTAATAACGGGTCTGTACCAAAGTGGCCAGGTAAATAAAACTAATCTCTTTGAAAACAGTGAACGCTCCACGAACTGTGAAACCGCAAACGGAGGATTGTGATTTTTAACTAAAAACGAGCCTCGTCCCTTTTGCGTTCGATGTTCCATTTATTGTTGCAAAACAAATAGTTCGTCTGCGATATAAAATATTAATTTAATCTCTGTTGAACAACAGATACTACTCTTCTGAGTTCTGTATTAATAAGCAAGAAGTTCTCGTGTTTCTCTGTTTTTGAAATGAAAAGATCGAGCACTGGCAGACGGTTTCCCCGGTGCCTATCGAGAAGAGAACAGTTAAACGTGCGAACGTTTCCACGGACCTAAAACAAATTGTTCAGACGTTTGACGTGACGTTAAATTTTAATGAATAGGTAGAGGCTGCGTTTGCGATTCTAATTTCGAATGCCAAGCGGCTGGAATGCGAAACGAGTTTCGCT